CCAGCTCTGTCAGTAACAGAGTGGGGTAAATGCATTCCCATTTCTCCAAATCTTTGAAGGGGACTGGCTCAGTTCATTACCACCATCACACAACGTGCCCACAGCTACGGCCTTTTGCACTATGTCTCTGAGTTCGTTGCTAAACAGCAAGGAAATGGAGTTGGCCTTTCTAATGATGTCAGGTTGCTCCTCAGAAATGAGGTGGCTCTTCATCGTTACTTTCAAGACAGGTGGTGTAAAAGAAGAAATGCCAGCCAGCCTCAGTTTCTCAAATCCCCACGTGCTCCTGGCCAAAAGCAAGGCGGACAAAGCCTCCCTTTGCAGAAACCATTGACAACCTGCACCAGCAGAGCTCTTCTGATACAAGAGCTTCTTCTGAGCATCAGTGGAGCAGGAGGAAGACATCTGCTAAGTCCACTTAAAAGCATTAGAAACTCATTCCTCGAAGCAAGGAAGTGATGGGAACAGGCAGGGCCTCTTGCTGCTACAGTAAGGACTGCTTAGTGTGGAGATAAAAGGTGCTGGGACCGTGAAGAGATGTCAAGGTGCCATGAAAAGCCCGAGCTTCTGAATGTTGCACCACCCAAAATGTCCCCAGCTGGGCTCCTGGAAAAGGCCAAGTCCCTCCTGGGAAAAGGGCCCTGCGACCACGCTGTGACAACCCACCAGATAAACCACATGAGGCAACCAGCAAGAAACCCGCACGACAAGATGAAGACGCACCTGAGATAGCAGTGAGCATGAAGTCAGTCATGCTGGGAGGATGTGCTGGGGGCCTGGAAAACCAGGAATGTGCTCGGGAATCAGGGCAGACCCCTGCTGAGCTGGGCAGAAGCGCAGGTACCAACATGCACCCAATTGTCTTCCAGCACCTCAGCCCCCCAGGCACCTTCGGCCAACCCCGTCTAAACTTCCACACCTTGGGCCAAATTCTAGCTTCACTTATACCATTTGCAACTCCTACCAAGTCAAGGGGGTTGCTAGTCAGCACCAAGTTTTGCTAGGTTTGGGTCCTGTGACCTTTCAAAGCCCCGGTCAGACTAGCCAGGAGGGCTGGGGCAATACATGCCAAGCGCAGAATCTCCCTGAGGAAACACACCCATGTCCTGTAAAGCTCTAGGTTGATCTACCCCCTGAAAAGCCTCCATCACGCCCAGAAGTCCTTTTGACATCTGGAGCACATGGGCACGCATCTCTTCTGAGCAAGCAAGTCTGGACCTAGCTCTCTGGAGCACCTGGCAGCAGAGTTCCTTTGGGTGCAGCATCTGGTCATTGCTCCCACCAGACGGTGATAAAAACCTCAGCTGACCTCCACGACAGCCCAAGAAACAGGCACCTTCAAGCCCTGCTTTGGAGCTGGGGAGGGAGAGCGTGGCGGGGAAGCAGCGGCAAGGCCAGGCTGGTGCCGGGGAGCTGGATGAAGGCACAGGGGTCTGCCGCATCCTGCCCTGCTCCCGCAGCTTCCAGTGAGATCCCCAAACCTGCAGCTTTTTCTACCTTACCTGCTGCTAGGGCTCCGGCCGCGCTTGTTCCTCCCACGGCGCCAGATCCGAGCGCCAGCACGGCATGGGGCAAAGGGGTCCTCCCACCCGCCCTACCGCCGCTCTTCACCTGCTTCTCCTCGGGTGGGGAGAGAGCGGGAAGTGCCACCCCGTCACGCTAACGCTAACCCAGCAGTCGACTGCTGCTTCCCGTCTCAGGAAACACCAGGCTCCCCGCGCAAGAGGGGTAGAGCTTGGGGAGAGGAGGAGGAGGGGAGAATGGGTCTGCAAGTACCTTCCTCCAAGCAGCCTGGAGGAGGCCCTGCCTTTGAGCTGGAGGTGGGGACCCGAATGGCCCTGAATAAACAGGGTTCGGCAGAGCTCGGGGCCACGCATGCAACATGCCACGGACAGGCAGCGAGAGGCAGCAGGTTCCCCCCCTGCACCCTGGAGTCCTGTGCCTGGCCAAGGCACAGGGCTTTTGGGTTGCCAGGGAAGCTTTAAGCACCGTGCTCACCTCACACCTGCAAGAGAAAAGTTTCTGCTGGTTTTTGCAACACTGGGGAGGAAAGAGGAAAAAAAACCCAGCTCTGGTTTGCCTCTCAGGTGCTGCCAACCAAGGGGCAGGCTGCCAGCCAGCAGCCCAGGGGACAACATGGGCATGCAACTGTGATGGCCACTGAGCAGCTGACACGCTGGTTTTACAGTCCCCAGGGAGAGCTTGTGGACCCGGGTGGGGGGGCTCAAAGAAACTCACCCCACCAAACACACACACCTGCGGCAGGATGAGGTGAATTGCCCCGGTTCAGCAGCATAGCAGGGTGCAGTTCCCCACCAGCCAAGCCTGGCACCACTCCACCACCTCCAGCAGCTTCTGTGGCATCACAGTCCGAAGCAGAGCTGTGCCAGGTGAGCAAAAGGAACCCAGCCTGCGAAGGGAACCTCCAGAAGCTTTCACAGGGCCATACGGTCCTGCTTAATACTGCCCACCTCCTGCTAAGAAGCAGGGATTCACCCCACTCTTTCAAAGATCAGAATGAATACAAGTACCACCAAGAGCAAATTTTTGAACACCCCTCCCATTTTTTTGTTGTAGTTCTCCATCGTTTGACAAGGCAGCCGGATGGAACGCAGCTCTGATGGGCAGTGGCCCAATGAAACCTTTGAGGCTGATGTGCAGAGACCAGCACGTCTGCTAACACCAACACCCCACCCGACCAGAGCTATTGGCTCTGATCTGATCCCCAACAGAGGGAAGGGATCTGCTTCCTTAAAAAACAGCCAGAATTTGCATTTTTGTGCCAGAGAACTTGCAAGCCTACACACTCCTTGAACAGCTTTCATATTTAATATACGTTTCTTTGCTATTTTCCTCTGCAAGCGCTATGGACCACATTGAAAATGTCTCCCAGCTACCTCACAGGTTCACTGAACAGATTGGCACGCACAGAAATCTCCGCCGTGCCTGCTGCAGACCCACTCACTCAATTCTTCTCCCAGTCAGCACACATTGAAACACCCACACCGGCCCACCCCAGGCAGCAGCTGTTCCCCCAGACCGATGACACAACTGTTAGACAGTCACAGGTGGCAAGTGCTTCCAGGGAGGTTTTTCCAGCCACTGGAGGTATGAAGTTCAATTGCCCAGATCAAACATGGGTGCAGAGACGGCGATGCCGCATTGCCGTATTTACTGGAAGCAGGACATGATTCATATTGTTTCCCAAGTGTAAATACCATCTGTAACAAAGTGCTACCAAACCATTACCTTGCTGACCAGTAGCGTTAGTATATTTAATATATTAACATCAGTTGTATTAATTTAGTATTAATAACAAGCAAATGATGATGCTAAGACAATGCTGAATACATTGGCCGCAGAACAGACCTGACTAATTCCTAAATACTGCAGGAGGCTGTATTAACAAAAGTGCTTAAGGACTCCTATCACAAATAAAGCCTGCTCCAGCAGGCACTGACAGCTTGAAGATGACAGCTGTCACTCAGCAGAGGTCAAATAACTAATGACAGACAGATGTACAGCAGTGAAACAAGCAGCAGCTTTACACCACAGTAATCTTGCTGTCTCCTCCCACATCAGTACAAAGCCCTTTTGAGCCCCTTATAGAGGGCTAGGCCTTATTCCTCTCCATAGTCATGCTGCCAAAACTGCTGTCCAAGTGTGTGGCACTCCAGGCAGGTGGGCTTTATAATGAGTTTCTACCAAGGGACCTTGATGGCATTTTTAAGATGAGGGACATGTTTGAAGTCATACTACATCAGTGGCTCCCTCTGGAGTAGGTCCACTCATTTTCAGTAACAATCAGAACGTTCACTGAGCCTTTCAGCTTTACTTCTGGCTGGGGAGATGTTCAATACGAGCATCAAGGACCTGCAGGCCACATCCAGCACTCCCCTATTCTGGAAGGGATCTGGAAGCAGCCTTGGCTTTAGCCCAAGAAGGATGAGCAACACACCTCAGAATCTGCTGTGCTTTGCTCTGACTCAGTCCTGGGAAATCAGAAGGTAAATGAAGCCACAACCACCAACAGAGAACCTGTAAGCATGGACTAGACCCCTCACCTCCTCACATGGAATCCATAGGCCCTCTTACCTCACTCCTTTTAACCCCTCTTCCAGTTCCCACCTCTGTCTACAGCACATTTAAACATAGAAGCCCTACCACTAGTGGCTCCGTGAAGACTGGTAGCTTATCCGGGCAGGTACACCCCCACAATGCTTTCATACTTCAAGCTACATGTCCTCAATCCTCTAATGAGCTTGCAGCCATGTTTAAAAAAATAAAACCTGCTAACCTTCCCCCCTCCCCGAGTTTTACAAGCAGATATTTAGCCCTGACTCACACCTGAGAACCTGGATGGGTGTCTCTATCAGATTCCTCCCCACATCAACACCATCACTGCCTTTTCACATTTTCAGACCACTGTTGAGCCTGATCTGGAAGCGATGTTTGCAAGGACGTTACTAACCTGAAGGTGTGTCACAGAGTCAACAAAAGTCAGCAAGTGGCTCCAGCCTGTTGCAAATACTCACTGCCAAAACCTCCCCCATAAATAACAGACACAAGCACAAGGAAGCCTCTTGTGTTAAGATTTAATAATAATAATAATAATAACAACAACATTTCAAAAACAATGAGTGCATTGTACACAAGATCTGGTATTCAGTGCTTTTTATTGACCATTTGCTCTGCGAGTGTCAGTGTACTGAAGACCTGGGGAGTGGCAAGTGGATAAAAAACCCAGCTGGGACACTTCTCCAAGGAGGGCAGGAGAGAGGGGGCAGCAGGAGGTTCAGAATCGAACAAACGTGGCATCAATCTGCCGGACAGTCGGGAGGGCCAGCATGATTTTGCGCCGGTACTGAGGATCCTTCTGCAAGGGGTTTCGCTCCAGATACACAGTTTCCAAGTTCTTCGCTCCTTTCAGGTCATCCAGGTCGCTCCAGCTCTCGATGAGATTATCGTTCATCTGCAGAGCACATACAGGCACACTCACACAGATACTTCCAAGCTAAACCTGGTTAGCAGGAGCCTAGCCCCACTGACGCTGCGCAGGAGGATTACTACTACCCAGGAGTAGTAACGCTGTACAGTCTTCACACACATATAAGACGACCCTGTCTACATGATCCTTCTCCCCCGGAACCTCTGACATGTGCTCTCCAGTCGCACAATCCAGGCCTCGCTAACCATCTCCAACCTCCCCATGCTGTCCAGGGCTGCCAGTCAAACGTTCCACCCCTCAGACAGTGTATCCAGTCCAACTAGTATGCTGGGAAATACCAAGCAAGACACTGAGACAGTCTCTTTATACAGTGTCCCAGACCATACGCTGTCCATTTAAGGGTTGGAAATCATTATGTGAAGATTTTCTTCCACTGTGACATCTATCTTTACTTTCATGGCTTCCCAGGAAACATTAAAAAAGGTCCCAAACTGATGTGAAAAGTGGCATTTTCCTCTCCCCTTCACATCACTTCCCCACAAAAACTGTTTCTGTACTCTGCAGAAAGCACCAAGCTCTCTGATTCCAGTTCTCCTTCTGTCAGCCCTGGAGCTGCCCCACTGCTGGCACTGCAAAGGAATTCCCATGAAAGGGGATGAACGCTTCAGCTGCCTGGCAAGGAAGCAAAGTGCAAGGTGGCCATGTGCTCTCTAACCCAGAGACTTCAGCCACCCTTTGCTTTTCGATACAGAGGCAGTCACTACAGCAATACCACCTTTAAATAAAAAATAATTAAAAAAAAAAAAAATCAAGAGATTGGCTCTGGCCCCCCTCAACAACTGTTTTTCCTCACATCAGGCACCCAACAGTAAACTGGAAACTTTGTGCACCCTGTTTGCTGGGTGGCAGATAAGCACCTCTATTTTCTCCAGCTGCCTCCCTCCAGCTAGTTCAGTGAAAGAAAACTGCTTCACCATTGGGACTGTCAGTGTTCCAGCTGGAGATGACTTTGTAGTTAAGACCCTGGACTAAGATGCTGAAGAAAACCTGCTAGCTCTTTCATTCTGCTACAGCTCATCACAACATTACTTCGGCCATGCCACGTGACCTTCAGATGTCTCAGTCCCTCTGCTGAGGAGGTGGTACTAGGACACTGTTAAAAGATTCCCGCTGTATCTAGGATGTGAAGTTCTGCTTCCTTAAGGTGTTAAAGGACTTTGTTATGTGGCTTCAACTCCACAGTCAGTGACAAAATATAAATTAGTAGATGCAACACTTGTTCACATCAAAGGAAATCCTGCCCTGCTCTTTACCAAAAAGCACATAACCTTTTTTTTAAAAGCAGTGTTAAAGTGGAAAAAAGACAGAAGGGCATTTTCTGGATTCAGCTAACAGATCTTGGCCAATGCTCTGCTTTGACAAAGGCACTCGTATTCTTGCAAAGGAAGTCCAATGAGGTTAGGATCTTCCCTTTACTTTCTGTAACACAAATGGAAACAGCTGTGCAACGCCTTCTTCTATAAGCAGAGCAACAGCAAAGAGGAAGACTGGAGGAAATTGCAAAGGATCACAACAGGTCCTGCACCAGCCACACTGCACTGTCTCATTTTTACCACCCAAAAGATGTCATGTTAAACGGGCTTCTCAGCTCCTGATTTAAAGAGTTCCTTATGGAATAGGCACAGCCAGATAACACCACTGGCCATCTGCTAAGCCACACTGCAAGATGAGGAAAATGATCCAGGTAGCCTGGACTGCAGGCTCTAGCTTGGTTTCATTTGCAGCTGCCTTCTACTCCTTTTATCTCAGCCTCTGCCCAAGAACTGAAATAACTGATCTCCAAATGACACACATTAAGCAGCACAACTCTTATTCTCAGCCTTGACATGCAGAAACTCTACAAGAGCTAAAGCATGAGCCAACTCATGGACATCTGCTGCTTTTTCCCCCCCAAACTTTAGCAGATTTGTGCACCGCTCCCAGATATGGCAGGGTACAGATGCTTCAGGAGGGGGGTGTCTCTGCATATTTCCTCCCCAGACTTATCAATGACAAAGGGCTTAGCTATTTAGGGTGCCAGTAAGAAATAGAAGCAACCCTAAGCAGTTATCTACCTCATAGGAATGGAAGTAAACCGGAAGATGGTTTCATTTTCTTTGTATTTATAACGACATGAACGTATCGACTCTGGTCTAAACAGGTACTGTGCTCCAGTGCAGTGGTGAGACAGTATCAGCTTCCCCCATACACTGTCATGCTCACTTAAAAGAAAGATGAGATCTGCAAAAATAGGACACAGTAGGGCTGTTTCATAACCATCACAAGCGGGAAGGCAGGGCCTATTTCCTAGGTAGATTCAGGCTTGTTACCACTAAGCAAAGCCCTGCAAAGAATTTTTTAAGCTCAACTCTTTCCTTAGAAGAAACCATCATATAATCCATCCATGCACACTGTTAAGATCTTAGCTGGTCACCAGCACAAGAAGAGTTTACGCCAAGACATACATGTACACCACCCTCCCAGTGCTCCCCATCAGAAGGGTTTCTTTCACTGTTGCACAGACATTTCAGGGAACAGCTCCAGCCTGTGCTTACCCAGAACTCCTGCAGCTCTGTTAGGTGACTGATATTTTCAATCTTCTTGATTCTGTTGGATGCAATGTCCAGCATTGTGAGTTTGTTCTAGACAAGCAAACACAAAAACATTAGACTGGATTTCCTTTCATCTTCTCTGCCCCACTTTTTTCAGGCCCAGAGTTGGAAACTGTCAGAAGCAAAGACATGTTATTGCCAGCTGCTTACATACAGCACAAGACCTCTCACTGCCTAAATATAGCAAGGAAGACTGTTTTTGATTAAGCTGGGTTACTGACCTCCCAGAAGCCATGTGACAAAAATGAAAGCAATTACTGGCCAGATGGCAACTGCCAGCCAAGGGCTCCTAAAAAGTGAGCTTTCCTCATAGTACATTAAGAAGAGGAATCCATTAAAAATCATATCATAAGCGTCCTCTCAAGCAGCAGAGTTGAACAAACTTTTTGCAGTGGCAAAGCCTACAGGTTTAGAAAAAGGGTTTTTTCCTGCCTTGCACACAGCCAACTAAGTTCCAGATTGTCTCTGCTCTCTGACAATGCCATCCACTGTTGGGTCAGAATGAAAACGCTACAGGCTTCTGTGAAATCAGTCCCATCCAGAAATCTCAAATGTATACTGACACGAAGGCAAGCCACACGCCACAGCTTGTCTCTCTTACTCCCAGCTCCAGTTGTTGTCCTATTGAAAAGAACTCATGATTATCTATAAACTGCTGTCTGAAAGGCTGCAGCAGAGACAGCCAGCTGTGGCCATCAGCTTTTCCACTGCTGAAGATCAGCCAGGCCGCTGCATTAACCACATCTTGTGCTTCCCCTCCCCAGATCATAACAACATTTCTACTCCAGAAGATCTGGAGGAGCTTCACCCATGCAAGATATTTTAAGATAACAAATACTTGGATCTTTGTGGTCGTTTCAAGAGACTCGGGACCCCCCATGTAACTGGGGAAACTGAGGAACAAAAACTTCCAGAAAAGCACAGCCACTAAGGGGAGCAGCTTAGGGCAGTAATTCTGTCACACAGTTAGCAAGAGCCTGCTCACATTGTTCTCCAGTCCCTCGATGACTTCGATGCCATTGTGGCTGAGGTACAACTCGCGCAAATTCACCAAGCTCTGCAGCCCCTCAATCTTGGTCAGACGGTTATTCTGAAAGTGTAACAGCGGTTTAAGTCCACTCTAAACAAACCAAAACCCAAGCAAGTCATTGGAGAAAAAGCATTTCTCTGAAGTATGGATGGGAAGGGGAAACAGTCTGCTTGGATCCACATTGATCTCATGAGCTCAGTTCATTTGATCTCTCTACCACCGATGCACCATGGGATTCAAAGTCTAAGTTTAGAAGAATCAGACTCCGACCTTCCCATCAAAAGTTGTAGCCTGAAAGTTTTCCACTTGGTGTCTTTAGAAACAATAGGCCTACACATTAATAGCATTCATTTTGTAGGTCTTTTTAATGTGATGGGTCAGAATGGAAGTTACAACACTTCAATACACTCTGCTGTACATAATTCTTTATGTCCTATAGAATACTGATGCATACAGGTACTACAATATGTAGCAAGTATGCCTTTCTCAGCAACAGCTGTAAGAGATACCGGAATGCACTAGCATTGGCATATGGATGAGAGGGAGACTCAATGAAAAAAATTAGTTGAGTATCTTTTATCCCACCTTTTACAAAGGAATAAACTTTCCATAAGCTCATTAAGGACAAATTTCACGTAGCACAGGCTTGTTCACATTTCTTCCCTCTTCAGGAAGAAGGTAGTGACACTGAGCCTGCTGCCACTATAACAACTTCCCTGGCATAACTCATTTGATGTTATTGTAATATACTAGGAAACAGTACATCAGGAAGAAAATGGGGGATAACGTACATTTCCTCTTCTCTCTTCCATAAAAATCAAACATTTTTTTATCATTTTATCAGTGCCTGTCAATCTCATTTAGTATTAAAGGATGAGAAAAGACAGCACAGAGAATATCACACTTCCTTCCAGTACAGGAGTTTGACTCAGACACTGAAGACCCGCTGATTCAGAAGAGCTTAGCCTAAATCACAAGGTGGTTCATCTAACCAAGGCTGTTCAAAACATAACAGTACAAAGTAGAATCAATACCTGTATACTGAGCACAGTCAAGTTTGTCAGCGCATCCAAGTTCTGGAGCTTGGTGATTTTATTCTTTCCAAGGAACAGACTATCAAGATTAGCCAAAGTATCGATGTTTTCAATTGCCTGCAAAATGACCAAAGGAGACAGCGTTATCGCTGTGATGCAAAACTCCAACCTGTGGACGTGGTCAGCATTTTACAGCCTTGACCCATGGAGCTGCGCTCCTGATAAACACGAGCCTGCCAACTCCACACACAAAGCGTGCAGAAAGTAGGGCCTCCCTTGTGACCCAAGGGCAGAGTAAGTGGAGGACTTTGTGCAGTGACAGTGAACCTCAGCCGGTGTGACAGCTGGCTTGTGGCACTACTATTCACTGATTTTCAGCGAGGGTCATGTTGCTGTGTCCCAGCTGTTGCCTCCACTGTCCAGGCAGCAAGAGCAGAGAATGAAAAGGCTCAGGGAGCACTGAGAGTGGCATTCCCTGGGCCATAAGGTGTATCCTGGGCAGGAGATACTCATTTGTGAAGCAAGAAAAATCTGTCACTAGTGAATGGAAAGAGAATCTGGGAGGAGAAAATACCATTTGCAAATTTAGTCCTGACCATCAGTGACTATATAACACAGAGGCAAGCTGTTTAGCTTCTCTGCACAACAGTTTCTCTGTCATAAGCAAGGTTAACTGTCTCATGGGTGTATGTGTTAATATATTTAACTACTGGCTACATATTCATGCTACTGGCAGAACATAGACATATCAATTTAAGTGATGTACATGTTTTAAATATACACGCTACTGGCAAAACATATACACTATACCAGTTTAAGTCCTGAGCTCAGCCTTCAGTGGGAGAAAATAAGAATCTCTGTGAGGCATCAAGAACCACCATATTCTTTATTTACAAAGGACAGGGCACCAGAAAGCACAAACAAGAGAGAGAAAAAAGGGCAAGAAAAGGGGAAAAGGGTGGGCTTAGAAAAGGCTCCTGTAAACAGAAGGAAAGAAAACACAATGTTTTTTTGCAGGGGAAAGCCTCTTAATTAAAAAAAAAGTGCTGTTAAAAGAGACAAGAATTTTAAAAAACATACTTCAGCTCACAGAAGAACAGTAATGTGGACATAGATACACACACTGCTGTGCATCTGTGCTCAAGTACCTTGTGACATCTCAGCTTTTCCACATCCTTCTTGCCTGGCAGAATTTCAGAGACTAGCAGTGCTGGTGAGACAGGCCACTGAGTCCTACCACCACTTAGTACTCTGTGTGTGTGCATGCGTGTGTGTGTGCACATGCATGTTTACCTGTGCGTGTATAAAGAAAGGAAGAGGAAGATGGACACAAACACACACGCTATGAATTTATAGATACACTCTGGAAAGGAAAGAAGCTTTTCAACCTCTATCCCACAATTGCCAACAGATTCAACATAAGGTGTTTATCAGCTCAGATTTGGATTTACCCTCCTTCTAGCCTGTTTTGACCTAGCAAGAAAATGATATATTTGTTGCTCATTGTTGCTCCCCCAGCCCTGAAGAGGAAATATTTGTGACTCTAAGGACACTGAGAAGAAACAGTCAGGTGAAAAAAAAAGCTACTTGAAGCTATAAAAAAGCCACACTTAAGTGAGAGTATGAAACAGATGGACACGAGGGGAAAAAAACCCTAAGGAACAAAGAAAGAAGTGCTTGCCTTATAGTTGCCTCAGTCCAACTTTGGAAAAAAAAAAAGCATGAAATGTAACAGTGCAAGCATGAAGGTCTGCTTCCCCACCATTCATAGAAAAGGAACAGAACTACAGTACTTATTAACTCATGACGGACTCCAAGGTAAGTGTGCTCCGAAAGGTTAGAGTGCGTGCTAAGACAGCATCACTGCAGAAGCTTTAATGCACAAGGGATGAGTATATCAGGCACCTCAGAGCCAAGAAAGCTGCCTGAACAGAGAGTCCATAGGCTTTTACCCTCAAGAGTTAAAGATATGCCCATCTGTAAAGCACATAGCCAGGCCACCCCACCAACAGAAGACTATTACAAGAGTTCTAGGTGCCTCCAAATAACATGAGATGTATTTCTTCACGCCTAGCCTAGGCACAGGTTACTCACTCCAGTAAAGCAATTAGAAGCATAGAGCAGTGCTGTTTGAAGAAGCCAGAATAGAATTAACAGATAAACAGAAAAAACACTAGTTAGTGTGCTTCCACAAGGCTTGAAATACAGAGGAAAAACAGTTCTTTTCCCAGTTTGCTCCTTCAGCATAACAAGTAATTTTTCAGAGTTTGTAAATGGGGGTGCCAGCTTAGAGAGTTTTCAGATTGAGATGCACTCGTCTGTTACAAGGATTTTCTAAAGCATATATAATTGAAAAAGCTTCTAAAAAATTAATAGTTTACTTTGCATGTTGCAAGTCTTTTGTGTCATCTGTTTCACCAGTTCTCTTACAAACTGGGCAATATGCAGAAAAGCCTACCTTAGGGACAGGAGAGACTACTCAGAACTGCTTCCCTTTATGTGGCATAGATTTTAAATCACCTAAATTGAAAAAGTCACAAATTGCACTATAAAAAAAAAGTAATCAGCAGCACAGTACCAGGTTTTTCAGGCATTTCAGAGCAAAGCCTCAAGAAAATCTTTTTCCTGAGTGAGACTGATGTAGCAGGTTATCAATTACACACACAAATCAAACTAGAATTAAATTTGCATTCAATAGGTTTTATCGACACAGCTCCAGCCTCTAGGAAGGTTAAGAGAAAACAATAATTGCTAGTTTTGATAGGCTTGGCTCTCTTGCAGGAGGAAACTGTCATCTGCAAATGGCAACACACAGGGGATGCACAAGTTCATTAAAGAGAGAAATTCATAAATAGTAATTTAGTAGCCAGGCAGTACATGCATACATAATTAAAGGATCCAGCATGTGCAGCAATAAGCAATTACACATTAAGTGACAGGAACAATAAAAAAGAACAAAATTGCAAGTAAAAAAATCAATGAAGTGCACTTTCAGAAAAGGCTAATCCCAAGCCAAAGAGCACAAAACTCTCCAGCTAACATCTTGTAGAGCAAGCCTACCCGAATTCGATTGGATCCCAACTCTAACATCTGTAGCATCTGCAAGTTGCTCAAATTCTCAATTTTGCTGATTTTGTTGTTGACAAGGAAGAGTTTTTTCAGTTGGGCAAGACGATCTAGTCCTTCAATGTGTCGCAGAACATTAAAGGAGATGTCCAGGATCCTGAGATAAAACAGAACAAAGGTCTCTTCAGTCCATCAGGTATGGATGATTCTGGAAGAGGCACTTGTAAATCGGTGGGGAACCTCACTGTCTGCAGAGATCAAGCACTTTGCTAGGCCTTGAAGCTAGAGCCATAAGTGTCATTTCTTTTTATCAGAAATGACAACAAATATAATTGTCAAAATATTTCTATTGTGTGTCAGGGAAAAAAGTAAAAAAAAAAAATCTGTCACATGCAGAAGATAGCTATCCTTTTGCTCAGCCATGGAGCTGCCACTGTGGGAGGCAGCCAAACTTCAATACCACATATTTCTTGGGAAAGGTATGTGCCTACAAGATCTGCCTCTGACAGGACAATGACAAGGCGTCCCATAAGCACGAAGCAGTTATGACTGTGGGAAGTAGGTTAGTCCTCCTCACCCCAGTGGGAACAGTTTTGTAATGTATCTCCAGAGTGATCACAGACAAGTGCCAGAAACTGGGAAAAGCACTACTCCTTCCCTAACACCCTCCAAAAAAAGTCCTAATCTCACCTGACATCTCTTGTCTTTTTTTGCAGGAATAAAACCTGTTATATGGAGCTCTTGCTGCCAAGAGCAAGGGGTACCTGAGTGCTTCCACACCTGCATGGAAGCTGCAACCACCTATCATTCTCACTGCCTTATACAGCACACATTTCATTTCCAGCTGACTGTCCCTGGTGAGCTTCAGGATAATGAAACTGGTTTACTGCACAGGTTAACTATCAATGGAGAACAGACATTATCCTTCACAGAGCACCCAAATGAATCATAAGAAAGGCCTGGGTGATAAATACTGCAGGTAAGTACAGCATGAGTAATTCAGTGAGTGGCAAACCACCCTCAACCTGACCCTGGTGATTTCCCCCAGACTCACTCAAGTTCCACCAGAGACTCCAAGTTCTCAATCTTCCGAATTTGATTGTCATAGAGATCCAGTTCCCGCAAGGTCTGCAATTGCTCCAGGTTCTCAATGCGCTTAATCAAATTCTGACGGAGACACAGAGTCTAATAGTTGGGGAAAAGTTTAAAAACAAACAGGAAAATGGATATGAATCATGGCATGTAATGCCTTTTGACATACAGACAACAAGGTTGAGGTTTTTTTCCCCATTAAGTTTTGTTGGGTTTTGTTGGGGTTTTGTTTGTTGTTGCTTGGGTTTTTTTTTTAAATAGAATCTTTTCTTGTTTTATTCCAACTCTACAGAAGAAAATCTTTTTACCACAAAGATGGTCAGAAACTATAACAGCAGCCCCAAGAGGCTATGTAATCTCCATCCTTGGGAATACTCAAGAGCTTGACTGGAGAAGGCCTCAAGCAACATGCTCTAACGGGACCTACTTTGAGCAGGGGTTTACTAGAGACCTCCAGAGGTCTTTCCAAGCTGCATTATTGTATGTTAAGCCTGCTGTGCAAGTACAGAATGTATCTCTTAGGATGAGCCCTCATGCATTATCTCTCATCCACTTCCAAAACCAACCTGCAAAACCCCAGGATTTTTATTACTGCTTGACAAATGGGTAAACACTACCTCCTTCAGTTAAACATGAAGTGAACTCATTAGGATCTCAGTTAAAAAGAGACTCCTGTATCTGTCCTCTTATAGGTTAGCTATGCAAAATCTCCAGTTCCAAGAGGCATTCCCTATTCCTTAGGACTGTTACCTTCACCTTCTTGAGCACCTCAAATCCTTCAATCTTCCCAATTCGAAAATGATTCAAGTCAACATCCTGAAAGAGAAATGGAGGGATTCAACAGTTGTTTCAGAACACTCTTCAAAGACCAACCTGGTACTTTGTTCTAAGGAAAATTAGAGTCTTACAAAATGTGTAGCTCATTAAAATTTCCCTTCAAAGAGCTTGTGAAAATTGGGTTTGGCACATGATTTTACTATCGCAGGTGAAGCATGTGGCCTAAGCTTGTCAACTGCAAACACAGCATCTGCAAAAAGGCAACAGCCCTTTCCTGAGTCTGAGCATTGTTTCACCAAAATTAGAAATCTTTTGCAGTAAATTCTGAATTTACTGAGACAGACAAATTCTGCTGTCTAGCATGAATAAAGCGTTGCATAAAATTCTCTTACCCACTTTGCTAGGGCTTAGCCGGAACACACCTTGCTATTTCCAGTTCCAGGCCTCAGATGAACAGGAACCACTGACAGTTCAAATATCTGGTGGTTCTGTGAACATTAACTCTGCACCGGTGATCAGCTGATGCACTTCACATCTGTGCTGTCCAGCCCCAGATGTTCCAGTTTTGCAGGTCAGTCAATCAAAAAGAAATAGAGCACTTCACCACCCAAGCTCAAAAACTCTCCAGCTAACAGGCTCATGAGGCTGCCAGTGCCAAGGCACAAGGCTGGTTAAGCAGCTATGCCTATTACAAATCACGGGTCTGACAGCAGCAATCAGTTCATTAAAGATATTCTCACAAAAGCTCATAGCCCGTCAATAATGCTTGCAGCATAGCTCCACTTTCAGTGCTTCCATGCTTAATTTAAAATTCTAAATTACTAACAAAAAAGTTTCAGCTACTGATCAAGAATAAAACACCTCTACTTCTAGTCTAAAGGCTTTGAACCAATTCCAGGGAAGATCATGGTAGCCAGCACCTTCAGAAGAATTAGATCTTTTAACCAGGTTTCAATACTTGCCTTTGCCCACCTTTTCTTCCCGCTGTATAAAGTCCATAAGGACAAAAATCTGCCTTTACCTCAGCTTCTGGGTCCAGGCTAATTGTTTCCATGTCCACTGGTGTCTCTGCTTCTCCTGCAGGAGAAGCAAATACATTATAAACTTCTGCTACCTGATAGCTAAAGGCAAGATGACAGTGGCTAACATCTGGAGAGGCAAAGGGAACAAACGCTCCTCAGAAGAAGAAACACATGAGATGCACATTTCAGATATTCTGATGCATTAAAAATACACTTTACCTATTTGGCTTTCATTGCGACAGCTAGTCGTGAAAAAAAAAAAAGCTTTCTTAACAAGAAAATTTCATGCCTAGATGGAAAAGACAGAAAAAACAGCATGTTCCCCAGTCTGCCTGTGTGGCTGCTGAATAATGCTGGCTCAAGACTGATTTGGGCAGGATTCCTTTTCTTTACACTTAGGGCCATCATCCCTCTGAATATACACCATCCGAAGTGCCTGTGCTCCTCCGATAACCTAATACAACATTGCCAGGAAGGAATCTAAACTGTCTAGTGATAGTGCCAGGAGGGACCAAGCATCTCAGCAATCCCACCCTTCAGCTTTTCTTTCATAAATACTGCCAGTTTATGTCAATGTTGTGCACGCTTTTGCATGGATCCCCCTTCTTTTGTTTGGCTGAACTCACTAATATGCTAGAAAACATCGTTTATCACACTGCATACATTTTCTTGGGAAATGCCTTTATAGCTCTGGAAGACAGCCCAACATTTGCTGTGCTTCTATCACTGCACAAGAGGGAGCAAAGTTTACCGGATAAATTCATGCTGAATAATTCATGCCGATTCCCATTTGTTGAAGATCATGCGCTGGTTGCATCAATTTCCAAAGAAAGTCTAATTCAACTTTGAAAAACAGACATATAACACACAACCCCTTTCCACTTCATGTGTGTAGCTTCTGTACCTACTACCAAAAAACCAAGGAACTTTAATTATGATCAAATCCCAAATGCTTTGCATTAACTCCTGCATTACTGTATGCAAGCTCATTCCATTAACCCAGAAGTAATGACTATTTTTATAGCCCAGCACGGTTACAACATTCTTGTAAATGACCAATGTCCCCTATACTTAACAAGTGTTTTTCCTACTGATGCTTGGCATTGTAAGTAGTATTGTAAGGATGAACAGTACAAGCATTACAATCTTTGATACTACTATCAAACTCCAAGTTTTTGATAGCTCCACACACCATCATTTACCTTGCTGGATTTGGGCTACTGCTCTTGCCTGGGCATTCAAACAGGAATGAGCACTAACTGAACTGACTCACAGAAGTTAAGACTGAAAAGCAATCCTCTGCCCCTCATCTTTTAATATGCTTTATACCATAAATTAGCAGGGAGCATGAAGTATATTTTGGAGATGCAAAATGAGCTGGTAGGCTTGGTGACATTGAACAGCGGTATCGAAATGCCACCACAACTGACATGCATACATATGCCTGTCAGCATTTTAGCAGTGGGCAACGCTTGCATTTTCCTATTTTTCTTCCAGATCAGGAGCCATGCACTTCAGCAGGGGACTGGGATACCCTACCCTGCTGCTACCAAGATTGCATCTCCTTGACCTATGTCTAGGGTACAAAGGCTGCCAGCACAAAGCGCTCCAAGACAAACAAGCGCCCTAGCTGAATTTACAGCCAACAGGAACCCAGCCCAAGTTTGGAACAACAGTTATTTGAGATAATCACATAAAAACCCAAACTATTTCCCTTGCATTAAGTTGCACTAGCAGTAAGTTAATGCTCATGGTGAAGAAACTTGTCCTTTTGAGACTTCAAAGTTGTCCAACAATAAAGCCAGTCATGCACTCAGTGAAAAAAAAAAAAAACAATCTTCAACAAAAGAAAAATTCAAGCAAAAAAAATTCTTCAACCTGGTTCAGCTGGCAGGCTTCTCTATAAAATTACATGTTTCATCACAGCACCCATTACAGACCATTTATACACATTTGGTTTTGGCAATGGGTTAAATACTCTGTTCTGGGATCTGTCAAAGGGTAGGTAGCTCCTTGTATTTTTGCCATATGGCTTCAAGTGACCAGTCCTGGTAGAGCCAATGTGGGGAAAAAAGCACTCAAGTCCGAAGGCACAAGACCAAATCACACAGGATATGTATATCGAATTCACTGAAATAAAAGCAATTTAAAACTGAACACAGAGGCAATAGCGTTTACGTAACAAGATCAACTCTCATAAAGTTTATGCAGTGTGTATAAAACACTCTCCATATAGCAGTCTGAGTGAGATGTGTATACTGAGAACACTCATAAATCAGTCTTGGTATTAGAATGTTAAAATACATTTTCTCTCAAAGAAAAATGGTTCTAGCAAATTTACAGTCCTATCAATTGTCAACCTACATTTTATTTATGAACCAAGTGGACATAAAGCACTCTAAACTGACCCTTCTACAATCACTTTATGAACAAAACTGCAATTTCACTTGCATGCAGTAAGTATGCAGACAGCACTTCAGTCCACGATTTTTAATGCAGTAGGTTTCTCAAGGGGAAAAAAATATTGCTCTGGAAGTGAAGTTACTTAAGTGAATTTTTGTGTAACCCATGCCTGCAAGCTACACAGCTTTGCAGATGTAGGAAAAAAATACGACATTCAGGAAACCCAAATTCCGCAGTACGGAGCAGTAGTTACTGAGTTACGTAAGTTCACAGTACCACAAGCATTTAAAGCAACTAAAAGCCTAACTACACTTTTTAACTGCATATGCATGAAAAATATTATAAATAGCTAAGTTATAAGATTTCTAAACAGAGGCGTTATTCCTCAGAGAATTAGCTAAATGATTAATTTGAAATTTCAGCTGCTTGAACTCTTTCTATTTATGATCTTCTGTGACAAATGTGGAAAACTCTTCATTTTCCTTTCACTGAGAAACTCAAAACTGCCTGCGGAAATTAACTCAAATGTTCCAAAATTTTTCCTCTGCTTGGTTTCTGCCCTAGTAGAAGTTTTCTGAATCCTAACAGTTTGGAAGAAGTAGTAACAATACAGCCATTACATTAAATAATACCCAGTGTAACTCAGTGACCAAATCGAATGCGTTTTTCTTGTTTTCGCTGGAATAAAAGTAGGCCACTTGAAATATTTTCTCTAATATTGTAATTCCTGGGGGAACAACATACAGAATATAACCTCAAACGCACAGCTAAATTACGTCAGCTGAATGCTCAATATTACATGCATGCAAAGGAAAACTGTGACTGACTGATCTTCATGGTTGTATTAATCATATAGGGCTTGGGATGCACAATTTGCAAGGTGTGCTCTGACACTTTTACAGACATCACCACAGCATTTTTCCATTAATATATAGGATTTTTATATGATCAACAATGAATTAGACTAGATAGAGTTCATTTAGTTAGGAGATGAGATTTAAAATTCTCATAATAATATACTAGTTTGGAAAATACTTTTGCAAATTCTAACAGGCAAGGTTAAGATTAGGAGGGATCTGCAGCAGACGCACAGTCAAAAGGATTAAAGCTTGCTGCATTATTTCACTTCCATTTCCAGACCAATAATAATCACACAAGCATCTCTATCAAAAGGACACTATTACATCTCAGATTGTTAGCTAGCACCAAAAGTCCAGATCATATTGCCATACAGGGTCTTCAGAAACAGATCTGCTCATGACAAATTCTATGCAAGCTACTGAAAAGCAAACTCTTCCACCAAACATGCACAGGCTTAAAACAGTCTGTCTACGTTTCTACCCAATGTTCTAATACAAACAGTAAATACAGTAGCGAAAGTTTAAAGTCAAGAGGATTCAAACAGATATAATTTTGATAGGTCTTAGAATTTTTAAATTAAGAAAATAAAATTGACAGCTTCCTTCAATCTATCTAGAAATAGTCATCTTTGCCTTCCAAAGGAATCTGGCAACTCTTTAGGTAAAAAAACTACATACACTAAAGCAGAATTATGAAAAGCTGCTTATGTTTATTTCTAATGAACATTTCCAGCATCTTTCCACAGAAAGTTAGTATGTTTCCATAACAAAAGTATGAATAAAGGTGTTTTGCATTTTGATATTAAAGATTTGAAAGGGAAATGTGGATGGATAAATAAATAAGAAAAAACCCAAAGGTCTAATATCAGTGGTTCCATTAAAAGAAGGCAGCTTTATTTTAGCAATGATAACACTATCATGTGTTTATTTGTAGAGAAAACTGCTCTGGGGCAGATTCACATTGTTCACTAACATTGATACAACCATCACACAGCCACAAGAAACATGAAGGACTGATACATGTACACTACTGTATGCACTTGTAAGATGACACTTCCTAACATGATCATTTAGGCTGGCAAGGTACCTGCGGAGTTCTCGCCATTCTGCTCATCTCTCAGGCTCTGCTGACTGAGGTCTGTTACTAAGCGAACTGCTTGCTTCTTCCCTTCTTCGTCTCCCGACTCCTCCGATTCAATCCGCTTATCAACTGCATAAGATACATAATAGCAGAATTAGGCTATTTTCAGCAGTGGGGCAAGGGGGAAGAAGTAACAAGCAGATATAATAACCAGGATTCACATATACCACTATGCAGTTAGTAGAAATCCTAAGTTAACTAAATGAAAGGTTTAGTCTTAAATAAAAGGCCTCTTACCCCTTGTTTCTACTTTGATTTTGGATGCACTTTTTCCTCCCATCACATCTTCCTAAAACCAACAATCTGGGAAGAAGACTGGAGGAAAAAGGAAATTTCTTAGATCAATGAAGTGCAATTCCAAAGATTACGGAGATGGAATTAGAACTATCACATTTTTAAAACTTTTAGGAAAAAATCAGTATCGTGTACAATAGTACCAATGACACGAAGAAGTGAAGGCATCAAAAAATAATAAAAAAAACTCCCTGCACGTAAAAGCAACCGTCTCCCCAGCACAGCCTGCGAGATCCCTTCACCGCTTACCCAGCCACAACTCTGCTGGCCACCCTGGCCCCAGGGACCTGAAGCTCCTCGCTCCCCCCTCAGTATTTGCTCTCGTTTCACGGGACGACTGAGGAAAAGCAACGCCATGGCAGGGGATTTCTTTCCTATTATCTTTATTTTTTACGACACGGTCATCTCCACAAACCCACTTTTCCACCTCTCGCGCCGGGAGCCCCCGGGAGGGGGAAGGCGTCGCGCCATGCCCCAGGTAATACACACACCGTTCCCCCTGGCTCGGGCGGCCCGCCCCGGCTCGGCGACCAGCCAGGGCCCCGTTCCCGCCCCCCCGGGCAGCCGCTCTCGGGGTGGACACCCGCGGGCTGCCCGGCCGCAGAGGGACCACAAGCCCCACCGCGCGCAGCTGGCAGCTGCCCCGCCGAGCGGCAGTGCCCGAGCGGCGAGCCGTCCCGACCCCTCAGCGGCCGCGGCCGGCTCTCACCCTCCATCATCTCCTGCGGTCCCTCTCCGCTCTCCGCCGCCATATTGCTTCTCCTCCCACCACCCCCTTCCGGAAACCGCCTCAACCGTCGCCTCAGCCAATCAGAGCCCAGCGCAGGCGACGTGCCGCAGCCAATCACACCTGCAGGTGGTGCCCTAGGCGGCGGGGCAGCGCCCCGGCCACCCGCGCGCGTGCGCCCCGGCCCCGCTTCCTTCTGGGGGTTGTAGTTCTCGGCGGGCAGGGCGGGAAGCGGTCGAAGTGCCAGGCGCTGCTGCAGCAGCTGGGGTCCTGCTCCCTCCCTATCAGCGCCTTGGGCCTGAGGCGTTACGAGCTGCTTTCGGCCTCGTCGTTGCGCCTACACATTCTTCGGAGGATGGCTGTCATCCTGCGGAGGGGCCTTCCACTTGCAGCCTTCCACCCCCGGAGAGGGAAGCCCGGGGCAGGTCGGCCGGGGCTGCCTGGGGTAGGCGGCTCGAAGCAGGACATCGCGTGTGGCGGCGGGGTTGTGGGGGGAAGAGGGGCCGGAGGGAGCCGCAGATTCCTCGACTCCGGATCGGTTTTGCCTCCTCCCGCGCCGGCGCCCCATTGGCTCTCCTCCGTGCCGCTCTCCTACTGCCTTCGCTTACTGGGCGATGCGGCTGCCTAGTCCCGCCCCCTACTTCCTCGCGCCCGCTGGCTGTGTGGTGACCGGCCTGAGGAGCGGTGGCGGTGGCCGTGGCCGTGGCTGTCCTGGTGGGGCTGGGGTTGGGGCCTGGACCGGAGCCGGGACCGGGCCTTCACTGCCGGTGAGCTAGGGCTACAGCCCCGGGGGGGCGGACGGTGCGGGCGGCACCCTGGGTGGGAGAGGAGGAGGCTGTGCTACACTTGCTGACTCAAAACTGGGAATTACTTCCCAAATTACCAAAACTTTTGCTTTTAAAACGAGCAGGAATGGGAAGAGGGTGCACGCTGGGTGCTTGGTAGCTCTTACAGAAATATGGTGGACGTGTTCTGTTGATCACAGGTATTCTATACCACCTGGGCAGGATAATAGTCAATAGAGTCACCTTTGCACTAGCAACACAGACCAAAAGTTAATCGGACATGCAAGGACGAGCGACAGTCTTGCTGTAACTTACAGGGCTGTGCTTTGGGTTAGAAGGCATCGTTACCTGCCAGTGTCCCAAGCTGGGACTCAGTGCCTGACTGTAAGGCTGACTGAATTTCTTATGTTTCTGTTACAGATCGTGGCTCCCTAGGTGTGGTGTGGCAACCAGAGCGTGACCATGGCAGCCGAGGCTTATAGCTCCTCTGAAGGGGGTCTTCGGCCTTCACCAATAGGCTTAGTCCTTGCTCTCTTGAATGACTCTGATAAGCTAAGTAGATCATACCCCTGGGACAGAAAAAGCAGGAAAAGTCAGCTCTCTGAACTCTGCCGTCTTAGAGCATCTCTTTCTGGTGAGCACAGTATTTTGAGATTGAGTGTCAGCAGTGAAGGTGATGTGTTTCAGACGGTTTCAGATCTTTCTCCTCCCCTCCCTCAAACCTAGAGGGAATAGCAATAAGTGGCTGCCAGAAAGCACTTGTTCAATAAGCATCTAAGCCACAAATTACTGCAGGCTGGGAGAATTTACAGGGGGTGCATTGCTGGATTGGTGCTCTGCACTTGCACTTGTTCCTGGGCAACTTTTATTGGCTGCCATTGGACCACCCTGCAATCTTGTATTACTATCTAAAACACGAAAAATTTCCCAATGAGGAGAAAGATGTTATTATACTGGATTCTGTTAGGAGGGGAAGAACTTTGCAGTTTACAATGCATCTAGATCCAGGCCTTCCTTTTTTTTAACATGGTGAGCCTATTCATACTGCATGTGGTGCATAAATGCAGAGATGTCCTTGTGATGAGTTGTTCATAATGCTTCTTCCAGTACTCCTAAAGCTTCAAAGCTGCTTACTGTTTTGGGAGTGGAGTGATGGCTTTTTTCTGCTATTGCCATTTCCCAGGGAAATGTTTTTTACAGGCAGAACCTTTGAAAATTTTAGTACAATCACTTGGCATTGTGTAACATAAAACATTGGTGTAGGCACAGGTATTTCAGTGTCACGTCTTGTGAAGAGTTAATTAACTGGTTTCTGACTAATGCAGTATTTAATAAGGGCTTGAACACTTACTGTAATTATATTTAATAACAGTTTAAATTTTAACTTGAGGGATTTCAAAACCTTTTAAACTCATGTTAAGTGAAAAATAAAAGTTAACTAGTCTGGTTGAATCTTATGGATGTTGGCAATTTTTTTCTAGCCTACGGACTGAAATTAATTGTTCCAGTGGCTGTGATTCAAAAAGATATGTTTGTTAGAATTGTTTCTGTTTTCTTTAGTTTCATTGATTTTATTTTATTGTAATTTCTTTAAAAATCTAGAAGCATATATTTGGGGATTATTTGACAGTTGCTTCAGCTGACAACTATTTTTTTTATTCATTCCTCTAATACTCCTGTAGTAGACTGTTATAGCTGAGTAGCTGATCTTTATCTTCTCACAGGGGAGAAATGGAGCTCTTACTGTTTGTCTTCACTGGCAGCTCGTAACATTTGTACTAGCAAAACTGGTAACTCATGGGCTCAATGGGCTTCTGCCTCTCTCTCCACTTCCATTGGAAGTTCTGCTTCTTGCTCCTTCTTGCATGCCGTCGCCGTGGAGGAATCCAGCCAGCACCTCCCAACTGCTGCACGCAATCCAAACAAAGCCATCTTCACCGTGGATGTCAACACAACAGAGGTATTTGCAGTAGTAACTGCTAAACTAAGCAGGCTGTAACTGGTAGAGGTTGTATGACATCAGACAGGCTAAAATGCCTGTTGTTGTTACGTGTATCTGCAAGCAATCAGAGCGTCGTGAAGGCATTTTATAGTCTGTTCAAGCTCAGTAGTCTTCTAAAGACTGACAATGCATTTATTTCCATTGCAGGTTGTAGTTAGCAAAATATGCAAGACCGTATCAGAAGCATGCATGTCTTGAGTCTTTTTTCAGCTGTGAAGTGGCACAAGGGAAGAAAGGAAAGCAGAATGTTCTTCAAACCTTATGTCTGTTAAGTGCCAACCCTGGGATGGGTTTGTGGTAGCACAAGGCCTCTTTATCTGCCCCAGTAAATATGCCTTTTGCATTGGGAGGAAGAGAATTTCTCTGTTTCTGTCCTGAGAGTAAACATTAATATAAAATTGAGTACTGAAAACTTTAAAGAGCTGTGCCATTTTTAGCTTGACCTGACAGTTTGAGCTTACCCATCTTAATGGCATTTAATCCTGACTTGGTCACAGGCTTAAGTATGTCAATGACTGGTGTGATTACCTTATGCCTTCAGGTGTGGATAAAATTTTGTGGTCTGCCTAGGCTTTACTTGCAAATATAGCTTTGCAGTTTTGCCTCCATGGATGTAATTATTTAAATGACACAAGAAGCTGGAGCTGGTAGGCAGTTAAAAGAAAGCAGGAAACCTAAAAGAAAGCAATGTCTCCAACCTCCTTAACCAAGAAAATGCGTGGGCAAGGGATGTCCTAGAATAAGAAGCTTTAGTGAACTGTTTTTTAAGAATTCAGATTTTTAAAGAACCCCTCCATTTCCACCAAGAGGAAGGGATATTATAAGACACTAAAGCAACAACATGAGGAGATGATGATCTATTAACAAAACTTACTGCGTTTATTCTTTGTTTTGTTTTGGTGGTTTTTTCTGCTTTTCTAGATCCTAGTGGCTAATGACAAAGCCTGCAAGCTGCTTGGGTGCAGTAGTCAGGAAATCATTGGTCAAAAGCTGTCCTGCTTGATATCCAAATCCAGTCAAGAAGTATGGGAAGCTGTGGGTGAGGAGTACATAGAAACTGATGAATGTTCATCGGTGGTTTCAGGAACTATGGTACGTGACATGTTCAAGGAAATATTCCTAACCATATACAGTGTTTTTGTAGGCTTTCGTTTGGGGTTTTGGGGGTGGTTTTGACATTTGCAATATAATTTCCTGATATATTTAACTTTGTGGGCATTTGGCAATTATGTCATATGTAGGACCATTCGGTTTAAAAGTTTGCAGATGTGGGAATTCAGAGGCCAAAAGATGTTTTGGGGGGCACCTGTGAGAGCCTTGCAGCTGCTAACGTGTATAGTCATGATGACTTGACCAAATCAAAACTTAAAGGACATTAGATTTAAAAAAAATAAAATAAAATCAATACAGTTGCTTAACATGGAAAAACCTGTTATGGAGAAGTTCCAGATTGTCTGGTCTTTTAAAATATTTTTAAAATTATCTTAAATTGCATTGTGCATATTATAAAGTTACAGGTAGGTCAAATACCGTGAAATGTCTGTGCCAAAACACCTAGTTGGTGCAAAAGAATGGAATTGATATTTTGCCTATAGTGGGGTTGTTTATTAAAGAGCTGCATGAGAAATGTCTCAAAATTATTTTCTTTTGCTGCTTTTGTGAGCTGTCACTTGAAAATACTTGGAAAATGACCTCATATTCTTCCTGGTGTATTATTTTTGTACTGAAATTGTCAGCATCTCGGAGCTTGATCTTCCTCAATTGGATAGGGGGGGGTGGGGAAATATCTAAGTGTGATTCAGTGAAATCCAGGATTAAAATTAATTGTCTGATAAAGGCACTAATTCCAAGCCATAGCCATTCCAAGTACTTTATAGGAGTCACTGTGTAATTCATAAACCCATTCTGTCAGGATCACATAAAAATGATAAAAGGCTTGATATGAACACTGCAGGTTATGAGATAAGTAAACATTTTCTGATTTGAGGAGAATCTTCTCCTGTAAGAAATTAAACTGCTATTTTTGCAGCTGACAGTAAGAACTGTGTTACTAATGTGGAGTATTCATTAACACCATGGGACATCCCTTAAATAAGGCACCTCTGAAAGGCACTTCTCACTAAATGCAAGGTATTAGATTGGCACATTTATTATGCTGAAGGAAATGCCTTTAGTCTTCCTGAGGCAGGGAGAGAAGATACAAAAGCAACAATGACATTTTGTGTATGATCAGTGAATTATTTGCAAACCTTTTCATCTCTATATAAAAGCTGTGTTTCTTCCAGTAAAAAACTAGTAAGTAGTCAAGAAATAATGTTTTTCTACCAATGATGGGGAGATATCCTGGCTCAATATCTTATTCTTGTTTGAAATTCTTGCTAAGTAACCACAGTCTTAGTAAATTGTGACTACATCTCTGAATCCTATGGAAAGGTGGATATTATAGGCCGTCTCAAAGAGAAGATCCCTGTCTCGGTCTGGCTGAGGCGAATAAGAAGTAAGGACAGCCAGTGTTGTGTGGTTGTGCTGGAACCAGTGGAAAGACTTTCAGCTTCTGTTTCCTTCAGGGTTGACGTGAGTGTTTTCCTAATGATCAAATCAGATGGCGGTTTGTGAGAGTTAATGTGTGAATGAAACATGTCTAAAAGCTAGCAGGCACGTTACTGTTTGTGAACACAAAGTGTGTGCATAGCACTGCCTGAAACCAGTATTGTATGTGCAGGACCTGTGCATATTTCTCCCATGCATCTCGTCTTGACGTATTCAACAAGTCACATTAAAATTCACTGTCTGTTGCCCATGGACATCTTAGACTTGAACAGTGACAGTTCGGCAGGGGGTTGCTTATTCATGGGAGGGGTGCCCTTGTGAATGGATCAGCTTGCTGAGGAAAAGTTCTGTGAGGAGCATTGGACTCCCCTGCTTCTCCCCTGCAGCAAAGGGCAGGATCTCTGCACGATAATGTCGGAGAAGTGTTGCATTATGCTATGTCTGCTTTTACTGAGGTAGTTGTATCCATGAAGAGACTGCAGAATGAAACTTCCTGCCGTTTGCTCAGATATTTGCAGAAACTGTTGTTAAAGGATTGAGTGGACTGTGGCTAAAATGCTAAAATTAAAATAGTCCCATAAATTTTCTTCCCAAGGGAGAGATTACATCATGTGACCTCCTTTTTGCCCATCTCCATGGCTACCCAACATTGGAAGAAGTAGTTGGGCTCCACATAAAGGACCTGATTCCTTCTGTGCAGATCCCTCCTCTAGACAAAAAAATCCCAAAGGTATAGTATCAGCACCAACCATGTTCTTCCATACCCTTCCCATTTGGAACATAGGGGCACACTCTTTTCCCTCCTTATGTAACAGAAGAAAGCCTTTTCAGAGAGAAGCGTACGTCCCCTGAAAAAGGGTATGCTGTTTATTCATGGAGCTGCTGTCTGAATATTTCCTAACTAGGAATGAGACCAAGCCCTGACTTCTCACTGTGGAATCTGTCCTGGTGAAAGACACTTTTTTCCAATCCTGGTTTTTTAAGAAACCATGCTGTCTCTCTCAGCTCCCTAAAATTCCTTTGAATTCTTTAGCCCGTTTCAGTCATGTCTTTCTGAGGAGTGAAAGTCTAAAGAACACCCAGATCTTGCAAATGCCAAGATAGTTGGCATTTGCATGGCATTCAACTATCTAGGCAGCTAGATAGTTGAAAGAGGCCTTATTAATGCCTCATTTGCTGAAAAGCTGCAGCATGGACTTTCCTGGTCTTCATCATCAGGATATTCACACAGGAGTTCAACACTGGATTCCAAATACTTAGAAAACCAGACTTGTTTTTTTGATATTCACAGGATTGGTTCATTTTTCTTTTCCTGCTCCTTTTTCCTGAGAATGTTTCTGTGTAATTTTATATCAGTACTGAATAAAAACAAAACATTTGGTTAGTTAGAGATTTTCTGTTTGTTTGGGGTTTGGGTTTTTTTTGCTTTAATTTAGAACCTCAGGATCCAGCGAGCTGTAGGCCGATCCAGAGAGGGTAATGCATTTCCTCTCAGTTTAAAGCTGCAAGTAAGCCTTCTGGAGGAGGACCAAGCAGCAGTGCAGAAAGATGGTGTTCCGCAGACAGAAAAAGAAGGCTCTTTCACAGGCTATCATTACTCTGCTACAGTCGTGGTTTTCTCCACCATCAGTGGTCTTGTTACTGTCGAGTCAGATGGAACCATCTGTGGCATCAAGGATAGTTTTGCTTTAATGCTCTTCGGCTATGAGAAGAAAGAACTCTTGGGAAAGGTAAGGTAGGAGTTTTAATCCCTCCCAAAAGACTGCTACGTCTGGCAGCATATCCATTGGAATTGTAAAGTTGTCTTTTACACTCGTTTCTGTCTGTCACAAAACCTCTGTGTTTCATGTGTCGGCGAGTGAGTTGTTGGATGATATGCAAATTCCCTTGCTGTAACTGCTAAGTCTTGCAGTGCTGAGGAGCTAGTATGGATTTCAAGTACATGTTCTCCATCAGTCAGGTGGATCACTTTTGCCTGGCTATTCATCAGAATCGGATCCAAAAACATGGATTGTTAGCATTTGCCCCCAACCTGTGAGAGTCAGCTTAGCTTTGTAATGTTTCATTCCGTGTTTTAGAACATTACATTCCTGATCCCTGGTTTCTATAACAACATGGAGAGAAGCAGTGACTATTCTTTGCCATTACCTCCTCTTGACGACTCCATGGGGACAGAGGGTGAGTGCATCTTTGAAGATGTTACTGCCTGCCATACAACTGGCTCTGGCTGCTGGAACAAAGGTAAAATGAATAGAGACGAGAGATTTGCCTATGAACATGGGAACATGATTTGTAAAAGCAGCGTACCTCCGTGCAGTTTTTAAATTGGATTTCCACTGTAACCTAAGGCAAACAGAATTGTTCACCTAAGGTTGTGCTTCTCTCTTTGTTGCTAAGAAGATGAAACTGAATATCCAAGTTGGAAATTACACTGTTAATAGAGAATGCTTTGTATTTAACGAGCACTTCCCTTTCTCTCCCTCCCCTGTTAGGCTATCTCTGAGTATTTTAAGACGTGTAAAATATAGCTTTTGTGACAGTACTGCAGCGGAACTGTAGATATTTAGGACTAGTATTTTAAGGAAGAATTCTAATATTCTTCTGAATTGGTTCATGTTGCTGGCTAATATTCAATGTTACATTGCTGTGGTGTTTCAGTTAGGAGTCATCGCATATTCCTCTGATGCACTTTGCTGCATTTACAAAGAATTTGTCAAAATTTTATTTCTCTGAACACAACAGGAATAAACAGAAGCAAGGAAGCCTCATGTCTCCAAATCTGTCTTTCCAGCTAACTCTGCCCAAAACAGAGAACACAAGCAAGTGCATACTTTCATCTGTATTGCAAAAGATCTTTCATGCTGGTTTTGTCTCTTTCATTTCTTTTTTTTCCCTGTTTTCTTTTTCTCTTTTCTTTGCTTAGAAATGCAAATCTGCATTGAAACCAATGCACACTACTGGAACAAAGAAGAGTTAGTAGACAGTATGCAATTTCTTAGGTAATTCTTTGATGAAGTGATGCCTCTAATCTAGGAGTAATTCAGTTCTTTAGTGAGGAAGCATTGTTGGCATTCAGCCTTTACTAAATGGAAGGATGTTTCTAGATTCAAGTCTAGATTTGTTCACTCATTAACAATACTTAGTTTGCTTCATCTTACAAACTTATGTTTTTCTCTTTTGATCTGTTGTCACTGGGGAAGGAAGGAAGTTCTTGTCTTATTCTTTCTCTTAAACATATTTAGACTGTATACTTTTTGTTTTGCAATTTCAGTGAGTTATATAAATGCAGTCTAAACCTTTTCATTTTAAGTGTTTGGAATGGAGAGTGTATGTGTGTTTTCGTTGGTTTGGGTTTTTTTTGCTGCTGCTATTTGTATGATCACTTTATTTCCAGATTTTGTATGGTCATTGGCCTTTTTTTAGGTCTCTGAACTTCAATCCAAGTAGCTAACCCAGAAGGCTAATACTTGTCCAAGAGCTTTGATAGGAAGGCAAATTTTAGCAGCCCTGAAACATTTAGATTCCTGCATGTGATGACTTCTCAGGCTGAAGTAGAGTGGAGTGCTCACATTTGCACCACTTTGCCTTAATCAAGTCTTTTATACTCAATTCCTTCGGGACGAGACAGACCAAGGCAGTTCCAAGATTGTTTTTAATCACTGTAGTCTCTGAAGCCTAAACAAAAAAGGCTAAGTTGGTATGGTTTTGTTTCTTGTTTGGTACAGACAGCAGCTTCTTGGCTGCATCTTTAGCAAGCCTTCTGTCAAGAGATGAAGAGCAGAAATTGCAACAAAGACACAAAGACGACAAATTAATACATGATGAAACTAAACAAAAGAATGGGACTGGTTTATTTTCTACTCTCTCACCTCCTGCAGTGGCATCCACACCTTCTAATAGGTAGGCATTTCATGGACTGCATATTCACTTTGAAAAATTAAGAGCCATGGTGGCAATCATCAGCAAAAACTGTTTTTTTCACCTCTATGATGTCTGTGGGAAGGTGTAATAACAGCCTTCCACACTTTGCTCTCTTTAGAATCTGAGCACTGTTTGCAAGACAGGTTGAATTTTGCCTACCTTAGATTTTTGTTTAGATCTGTACAATCTACAGTTGTAAAGTTATAGGCGTTCCATCTCTAACGGGGACCAAATGCTTCACCCAAGCTAGGGAAGGTAATTAAGTTCTATCTTTGCTAGATCAGAAACAGTGGATGTTTATCTCCTTCCATGGTATCCACCACCAGCTGGTGTTGCACTGAAGCTAGCTTACCTGGAATGAATTCTAAATGTTATTCCTTCCAGCACTCGATGTAACTGTCAGGTCATCCATTAAAACAGGGTACTGTGTTACTTAAGTCCAGCCATTTTTATTGTACCTTTTCAGGTTTTTTTCCTGTTAGGAGGTTAGAAGTTCTGCACAAGTACCTATATGATGCACATGGCTTATCTTAAGTTAAATTTTAAGCCTTCCACATTAACAATTCTAACCCTCAGAAAATATTTACTGCCCTTTTTAATATATAGACTATTACAGCACAGTTCTTGCTGCTTTTTAAAGACACTGACAGTCTCATTGTTTCCTTGTGCTCTCCTGGGTTTATGCCTCTCATGTCATAATTGGATTGTAAGTGCTCTGCTGCATGGATTGTTTTTCTACTCCGCATTTTTAGTAATAGAAATGTTTGTAAAATACTTTGTGCTATGGGCTTCAGTGAACCATGGTTAAATTGATGGATGGGGACATCCATCTTCTGTTGGACAGACAAGGGATCTTCTGTTCTCAAGACTAGAAGTATCCTGCCACGTGTACTGGGTTTTTGTTGTGGTGAATGATCTATGATATATATTTAGAAATTAAGCTAGAGAAGGACATAATCCATAGGGAAAGAGTGCCATTCGAGTGTACCTGCTCTTCTTTGGCCAAGATGGAATTTGTTAGGATTTTGGATGCCTGCGCCAACAGCTTTCTGCCTTTTTCTTTTAAACTTAAAACAATTGGTGCAGGTTTTAAACAGTGACCATGGTAATGGAAGAGTGGATTGTATACAGTATGACAGTTTTCTCATTCTTTTGTCATCATGATATCACTAATAACTTTGAATCCTTGCAGCAAAGACAGCATTGCTACCAATGACCTGTCAGCCCACCATAGAGAGCCTTATCCTGAAACCTGGCTTGACAGAATGAGAGCAGTGGAACAGTGTAGAACAGTGGAAATGGCAGGATCAAATAATTCTGAAAAGATGCTCTCTGCAAGGCTCTCTCCCATGTCATCTGATTCAGAACAGTTGGATTTAGGTCAGAACATGAAGATTACAGTACAAAGCAGTGACAGTGCAGTATCTGGTGCATCTGAGACTCAAAATGCCAGTGAGACTAGTATCTTGCCTAACCAACTACAAGTTCGTCATCAAAACCTCAAGGAAGTAAATTGTCAGCAGGTCTGTAGATTACCATATGAAATGCTGAAGCATCAGCACTCCACTGATGCCTGGGAACAGGCTTCTTCAGCAAATGTTGCCTGGTTGCCTGTTTATTCTAGACTAGAAGGCAATCTAGATACTGCATCCTATGGCCCAATTAAGCTGTCTTCTGATGTTACTTGTAACTCACCTGGAACACCAACAATAGATGAACCATTGTCTGGGGCAACACTGGACTACCAACAAGGCTTTCAAAGCCACATGGTTACAGGGCAGCTGTCAAAAACAAACTTGATGTGTGATGCAAAACATTCCAGCCTTGAGCATGTTGTTGTTGAAAACTGCCTGCTAAATGATGCTTCATCCTTCTTTGCAAATGGAAGAAATACTATCCATGATGTTTGCTCAGGAAATAAAATGGGTTGCAGTGCTTCTGCACCAGGAGTTGCCACGTCCTCTGAAGATGTTAAAGAATCAGACACTGAGCTGAACTGTGTTTGCTCTGGTCTTGAGGTACTGGGTCTGAATATTGATGTCAAGGAGAACTCAAACAATTGTTTAGGTATTACTGCAGCTCTTGCAGGAGCATCCTCCACTAATGCAGCAGACTTGGCTGTAGGCAATATGCTAACTCAGAAAAACAGTGCCTTTTCAACTGGGCAAGAAAAGCAGCTGTTGAATGGTGTTGCCATAGAAGATGGTTCTGGGTGGCTGGCCTCCCGAAGGCATGTAGAAAACTCTGAGGAATCCTCCAAAGCACTTCTTGAGAAGCCTGAAACTCTTGCAGAGACTGTGGGGGACAACTTCAACAGAAACCCACTGGAAAGCAAAGGCAGTCCTGAAGAAGACTGTCAGTTGCATGGGCAGCAAAATATGGAGATAAAAGTAACATCGACCCCAGTGAAACAAGAAGGAAGGCTGAATCCAGCAGCTCCTTTGACCTTGGAGATTCTAGAAGGCAGCTACACTGGGAATTGCTGCCACAGAGATGGTTCACAATTAAGTAAGTTAAACCTATTTCTCCCCTTCCCACAACTTTTATTGGGGTGCTCTTTTTCACCCACATTTTTGCAGAAGGCAGACAGTTCTGCTTAGAAGCTCACAGTGGAGAGGAAGGAAGAAGCTGTAGCATCCAGGAAGAAAAAATGGTATTTAAGTCTACTCAGAAGGTACTGGAAAAGCAGGTTGTATAAAATACAAAGCTACTAAGAAATTAATCCAGACTGAATGGTCAGAAATATTCTTAAAACACAATTAAAAGATTTGAACCTGATAACTTCTTCTGAACAGAAAATATAAAGTCCATTGTAAAACTTGTATTTAAATTGTATAATGGAATGTTTCCTTTACTCCTCCAGTTGGATACTGTGGCTTGTTGTATAAAATCCTCATTTTTATGTAATTTAGAATAACGATGTGAAATTAATAATCACAATCAGACACTGACAAAAGTTTCTGCTGGTGGGTGGGAACTATGGAGGTAGCCGCCAAGTATCTCTAGAATAGCTGTGCTTTTGTTGGCCCCTCTGATGATTCCTTACTGAGTAGGTGTTCCTCAAATGAATAATGGAGGAATTCATTTTGTTAAGAGCTCAGAATTCTGTCCTAAAATGTCTGTTGTCTCATTCAACACTAAAGTTTCATTCTACCATTTTAACTTCCTCACCTGTTTCTACAGGTATACTCTTTGAAGTGAAACGTGTAGAACTGCAGGGCCACGCCATACTTTTCTGTGTCTGGGTGGTGAAAGACCTTCTACAGAGCCAGAAGGAAGCTGTAGCAAAGAGACAGCTTTTGCTCTCCAGTCTAGCAAGCTCTGCCCAGTCTATTGCTGATCTTTCCACAAATAATCTTGGAGAAGTAAGAAATCCTACCATTGTATAATTCTCTCCTTGTTTGACTGTTAAGCTGAAGCTAAAGTCAAAAAGTTTTTCCAATTAAAATAATGTCATGAGGTGGTGGGTGGATATTGCTGTTTCTTTGTTTCCCTATTTTTATGTCAAAAGAAATGTTTCAAATTGCTATTTTGTAACATTTCCAGTAGTGTGTGTTTGGCTTAGTGTAGTTACCTTTCCAGTCTGAACAATGAAAGCACCTCATTTAAAATTTGTTCTTAGTCTGGTTTAAGTACATCTACATAGAAGTCTGCACCAATGTGGTGAGATTAATTTGTAAACGAATGCAATCACACTGGCACCAATGACACAACATTATTTAAAAAGGAAATACTAGGCTGAAAACTTCCCTTGACTAACTTGTGTCAACAAAAGAAAACTGCAGTTTTTAGCTGCCTCCTGAGATGCTGCATTTGGGATAGTGTTCAGAAAGCTAACACCGCATAGCTGAATGGTAGGTATATGTCAATGCCATAAAATCCAAACACAGAACTGCTCAGGCCTGCTTTTTAGTTAGTAGTGGGGTGTAAAACTGACAGTACTTTGACCAAGGCTGTAGAGGACAATAGTATCTTTGATCAATTGAAATAGCTAATGGTGATCTTCTAGATCCATTGAATAAATGTATGCATTCCCTAGATCTTTACGTAGCTGGATTTTATGATGACCTTAACAGAGAAGTACATACATATTTAAGTATCACATGTGTAACACATATAGTGGTGACCGTTCCAAACTACAGGAGATTCTAAGGAGCTGCTGTTTATTGAAATGTACTGCAAATTAGAGATGTAGTTTCTTTCCTGTCTCACTTTTAATCAGTGAGCTGGAAGATAAAGTAGATATTTGAGTGAAAAGCTTGGCTATTGGCAAAACTTGCTATTTGGAATATTTTTTATGAGACCTTTGAGAGCTGAGTAATAAGGCGGCTCTTGTTTACCTTTTAGAAAATCATCTTCCATGTACATGCACATGTATGTTGAAAGACAAGCAGTTCTGATCATTTCATGTATAACTCCAAATTTCACTATTCCAAACAAACGCCCCCATGAGATTTGTTGTGTTTCTTCTCAGTATGTCATAAAGATGTTATATAACATCTAAAGATGTTCGATGTTATGTATAACGTGAAGATGTTGTCATGCATTTTGGACACCATCTTTGGTGGAGAAACGTAATGATTGCTGAGACAAACAACCCCAAGTCCTATCCTCAGAGCAAGAAAAACTTCTGTTGTGTTTAATTTCTCATGCAGTGTTGCAGGCCTTGGTAGGAAGGCATGTGACGTTTCTTTACTAGGGATTTTACTGGGGTGTTAAAATTTAGGAGGGTATGCCTTGAACTTGTTTGCTCTTTGTGTCTGCTGAGAGACCAATCTACAGAACTGAAATGCTTGCCAGCATTGCCAGAAAGTTTGGTAAACACTGGTAATTTAATATACTAACTCTTTTTAGGTTACTGAGGCAAATAGAAAGTGCCAAATTTATAGACAGGGCTTAAAGCAGCACCTTTTTAGTTCTGTCCATATAGAATACACTTACCTGGAAAAATTACAACATTGGAAGTAACCTACTTTTTCTTCATCAAATAAAGTTATCATTTGGTGATAGACCACAATTAATTCATTTTCCTACTTGCACAGAGAGTTTTGTGTGAGCATTTAAGGTGCATATGTTTCTGTTTTCTTTACCTTTCTCTGAATTAAGCAGTATTTGTAGCTGCTGAGAGCTGACTGTTGACTTAACTTGTCTTGTATGGTGGTTACATCAACATACAGTTCTTGCTATCAAAACCAAAGATCACTTACTCCTTTTAGCTATTCTTGCAGGTGTGTATAAACATGATTCTGTGGCTTGCTCATTTTTTTTCTTGTGATGTTTTTTTACCTGTACCTAGTCCATCAGATCAACCTCACTTTTTGAGAATTCCCGAAGAGCTGAAGAGCTTGAAGGATTAAGGGCATGTGAGGGAGAATACGCAAAAAATTACAACACTCTCCATCTTATTGGCAAAGGATCTTTTGGCTTTGTCTGGACTGCCAGGGGCAAGAAAGATCACCAGGAGGTTAAATATTTCTTTTAGATCTCATTGCAATAAGTATTTAGGATAAACTGAAAGATTAAGGTGTTCGTATTCTGTCAACACTACACTATTAAAAGCTGATATTTGGTAGATCGGGATTTTCCTTTGTTTAAACAGAAATCTGAAATCACTAACCTCATGGAAACAGGACAGCAAAATGTTTGCATTGGTGTAGTATATGAATGTTACCTAAGACAACAGGCACAGAGTAAGTCTGACCATGTAGCTAATTTAACCTGTTGAAAGAAGTATACATTAAGCTTAACAGAATTACAGGTTTTAGTCTTCCGTTACTAAAGAGAATGACAAATTTCAACCATGCCACGACTCAAGAATGTGGAGTAGACATGTTGAGGTTATGGGACCCTCCTCTTTATCAGCAGAAGTATTTTGGGTGTTGAGTGGCAAGCTCTCATGTTTCTCTGCATGGATGTCAAGTGCTCATTTCCCTCCACTGCAGCCCTATGCCAGAAGTCACCACTGCTGTAACTGGGTTGATAAGAGAACTGGCCTGTCAAAGCCTTTGCAATTCGGAGCATCAATAAAAAGAAAATAGATATATTCCATTTCTGTGCATCGTTTAGCTTCTAAGATACTATAAGATACTATAAGCAATGCACATTAGGTTACTTCTGTCCTTCTAGTAATATGAGTCACTAATGTTTTTCCTGGAAATTAACTTACCAAACACTTAAAGCCATACTTTTGCAGGTGATGCTGAATTCTGTTGTCTGTCTAGGTTGTCGTAAAGTTCATCTGGAAGGAGAGGGTGCTTGAGGACTGCTGGGTAGATGATCCTGATCTGGGGAGAGTTACTCAAGAAATTGCAATCCTGTTGAAGCTGCAGCACCCCAGTATCATTAAGGTACAGTGAACTCGGAGTGAATGCAGTTTGAACTTTGAATACTTGGTGTCTCGTGTTACTCTTCAGGAGTGAGGAAGTGTCCTGTATTAAATCTACCTTTGCAGGAAAGAAAGGAACCCACCTGTCCTGCTGTGTTTTGGAGGGTATTTTACAGCAGACTTGCTTGCTTTGACACTTTTACCCCAAACAATCGATGTAAACATAGATCTGAAGGTGTGACTCTTAACAGAAAAAAAGCCTGTACATTATTTCAAGATGATACAATTCATATCTCAGAAGTGTGATGTCACATCTGAACGTATACTAGTTCAGTAAATAATCTGGATACATATCTTGATTACTCTTCTTTGTTTTGGGGTTGTTGGTTTTGTTGTTTTGGTTTTTTTTCCCCCAGAAAGAGAATTCCTCTTGGTATTAATTCTGCTCTCAGTTTTAATTGTGCTGTCTTTTCAGGAAACATTTGTGCTTAGTGAAATGAGACTTCAAAGATTGTAATATACGTTGATTAAATCTCCAAGAGGAGAGCGGTGTTTGTTTAAAAAAAAAAAAAAGGGCAGTTTGAGGATGAAGCACATTATTAAAAAAAGTGTTATTTATAGGTGCTGGATGTATTTGAAAATGAGCACTTCTTCCAGCTGGTGATGGAGAAGCATGGATCTGGTCTGGATCTCTTTACATTCATTGATAATCAGCCTAACTTGGATGAGCCATTAGCAAGCTATATATTCAGACAGGTGAGAGCTGGGAATGTACAGTTGCTATGTGCAGGTGAGATTTGGTTAATATAAGAACCAGGACCCTATTTCACTCAAAAGAATTACTGGCTAATCAGCAGGCATGCTGAATCAGTCATGCTCAATACCTGCAGAACTTTTCCTCATTATTCTGTAGAGCTGGTTTCTAGCTAACTGAACTGCTACCTGCAGAAACCTTTTCAAGGTTTACTTAGAAGCCTGTAACAAAGAAACCTCTACAGGACCTTACTTCATATGAGGGTTTCCTGTAGAGCCATTGCCTCTTGGCTGTGACTGTAGCAGCACACACCCCCTATCACCTGGATGCCCATTCCTGTAGCAGTCACATTTCCTCTGTGGAAGGAGGAAAGTGCACAGAAGTTGCCCCAAGCCTCACTAAAAGCCATGCTTTCACTTAGATAGATGCTTGATTTAGATTGGTTATGGGGCTAAAGGGCTCTCCTCTTTTTAAGGAATTTAAAATCAAGAAATTGTCTTGGATTTTAACGTGGCATAATGCAAAATACTCAAGGTAGTTTACTGTGAGTCAGGAGCTCGCCTGAGAGCTGAATTGTCCTTTGTTCATTGAGTCAACCACAACAGCAGTCCTCAAGTAATTCCCCCTCACGTGTTTTGGAGTAAATTCCTTGCTCTAAGGTATGCAAGAATTACCTTGCACATGGTAACCCACCGCTGTGTCCACACTCCCCTTGCTGGGGGTGCTGATGGAAGGTGGTAGCCAAAGTGATTCACCTTCTCGGTGTCTGCTGTGCAGTGCGTGTTCACAAATTGCAGTCCATGGTCCCTTTAGACTTCTGATGGATAAGCCCTTTTCCTAAACCAACCTGGCGTTTGTAGGGGTGCTTTGTTACTTCAGACCTGTACAGTATTTCTCTGCAGAGTGAGCTTTGTGTTATAAATAGAAACTTTTCTCCCTCAGCCATCTGCTTTTCTTGCTTAAATATATTGTGGTAGGGATCACGATTGTCACCAAGGTGATATAATTCTGATGTTATTCTTAATTATGGCACTATAGCATGAATCGTGCAGCAAGAAGAATGGAATTTAGGAGTGACTGTATTATTTATACCAAACATCACTCTTAAATGCTTTGTCATCCTGCAGTATTGGAGGCACACAGTAATATCCTTCTGGAGAAATCAAAGGACCCTCCAAATGAAGCTGGGATAAAAATAGAGTAACCTGCAGGATTGTAACAGTAAGCTCTGATGCTTCTAACCAAAAAAACAAGTGCATCGTGACTACAGCATGCCATCTTCCTGCACATTTGTGAGAGGAAAGCAAGCAAAGGCTTTTTTAAGTCTCTCTCACAAGAGCGTTGTAACACCCACTGCAGCAATGCTGACCGGCATGCCCAAGTTCGTTTCCAGCTACCAAAATCAGGATCTGTATCTTGTTTATACAGTGTCAAAACAAGCCAAAACGTGGCTATTGGAACTCTGTGATGCTATGTAGATTGTCCAGAAGGACACCTCTGTGTAGTAACACCTAGTTCTTTCTTCCTCTTTCAGCTTGTATCAGCTGTTGGGTATCTCCACTGTAGAAACATCCTTCACAGAGATATCAAGGATGAAAACATTGTCATTGCTGAAGATTTCACAATTAAATTAGTGGACTTTGGTTCAGCTGCATACCTGGAACCCGGCAAATTGTTTTATACCTTCTGTGGGACAATTGAATACTGCTCACCAGAAGTGCTGTCTGGCAAACCGTATGTCACCCTCTGAAAAGTAATTTTTGTGTCCATCACACCAAAAAAATGCATGTGCAGGGCTGGAATATAGAAGCCAAGCTGCTTTGCCATTGGTGCTCTGCTAGAGTATCTAACTGTGGAAAACTGCAGTGAGATTTAGGGCACTTGCAGTGACAGAAATTACTTGTAAAGGTTTGAATGCATACAAAGTTGTTTCTGACGAAGTCTGTCGACAGGCTTTCTTATTCTGGTCAGGTGTTTTGCAAAGCCTTGTACTAATGTTTGTCCTACTGCAGAGCTGAGTTCAAGAACAAGCCTATGATTGTAATTTCCAGCCTGGTAGAAGAGTCTGGATGAGTTGTGTTGTGACTTGAATGTGTCCTATTTCCTTAATTTTTCACAATATGTACATCAGCTTGCTAACCTTCTCTTCATACCTGCATATGAACACACTGACATGTTTCTACCAAAACCTGCTCTTTTAGAGAGGTGGTATAAGCAAGTATTGCTGTGTAACATCTGCTCCTTCCCATGCCTGGGTTTTATACTTCTCCCACTCTCATCTCGTCTGTTCCCTTCTATCCTACTTGCTTCCCTGTATGAATTTTTGCAGTTTGACCATTGTTCATCTCCCCGTTGATTTTTGTGCTCCTCTGGACTCAAGGGTTCTTCCCTTGCAGCTTGTCTTGCTATCTTGGACGTGCTGCCCAAATCTTAGCTGTCTTTTCCCTATTCTCTCCTTCTCCGAGTGCTCTTTACGTGGAGGCTGGTGGTCTCACACAAACTCCTGGAGGGAAGCCTTCCCATCACAGGGGTGTAAAAATTAATTGTACGTACAAGTATGTTATCTTGCTCTTGTTTCACAGCTGTTTTCGTGGGTCCTTCAGGCAGCTCCTCTTAATGGGGCAGGGGGGAAAATGCTATGCAAGGAGGAGAGGAAATCCCTGCTGGGCATGAGATGGAAGATGAAGCAGCGCTGCCCTGGGAATTCAGCCTGTTCCTATGTGAAGAAACTGACCCTTTTTCTCAGATGGTGTCTAGATAGTTAATATTTATTTCCAAGTAACTTCTGTTTTGAAAGGGATGGGAGGAGGCAAATGGGATTCCACCGAAGTGCCTGCTCTTCCAGTTAAATGTTTACTTGATATTTTTGGCTTATGGTGGAGAAGGAGGAGGCTTAAGTTCTCTTGTCACCAGCTTACGTGTGTGGAAGTCTAGGTGCATATTATACATACTCATCAACCAAAACTGGTCAGCCGTTCTTTGGTTGTTTTTCTTTCATGGAGAAGTGTAATACAGACTTCTCAAAAACACATGAGAACCTTATTAGAATTCTCACAAGCTTCTTATGTTAAAAATTGGAAATAAGGGCTATCAGCCACCTTTTTTCTTTTTACTTTCTTTAGCACACAATTACGTATTTGCAGTCTGAGTTTATGCAAGTTTATGTCTGCATAGGTACTATGGCCCTGAGCTGGAGATGTGGTCACTTGGTGTCACCCTTTACACCCTAGTACTGGGAGAGAATCCCTTCTGCGAGCTGGAGGAGGCTATGGCAGCTGTCCTGAATCCTCCTCGGCCTGTGTCAAAAGGTGAATTTTTCCTATTTGCTTTTCTAGAGGAGCAGATCTCTTGGGAAAGTATGCGCGGTATTTATTCCCCGGAAATAAAGGGGAAGACTAAAAAGTGCTTCCAAATGTGCTCTGCAATTTTAAAAGCTGCTCACTGAAGCAGAGTTATCTGAGGTATCCTTTTTGGGCAAGTTCTGCAGTTCTTCATGCCTGCGATGAACACAGCTATCTGCCCTATGTGTTATTAGTTTCAAATTCCAGGCCTCTCATTTGTTACGATGACCCAGCCTATCAGCTTGTGAAGCTTCAGTGAGGTTTATACCTGAGAAAACCAGAACAAATAATGCCTGATGGGAAGGTTCGCTCTAGTAGATAACTTTAAGATCAATAATAGCACCCATGTAACACTAATGCAAGTTTTACCTCACTTGAACTATTGCCAATCAATGCCATGTCACTTTCGGGATGGACGATAATGTGTTAATTTATCATTTCCAAATTAATTGTATGCCTTGACCTCACAGGAAAGATACATTGGCCTTGTTTTCTGTTGGAGGTATAGAAAACTAATTGCACATCAGGCTAAAGCAATCTTCATCAGCAAGTCCTCTGGGGTCCTTGAGAGCACTGTGGTTATACGGCTTCAGGGTGCCGCAATAGACTGGTAAATTCTGGAAGCTTTCCCTGAACACTGAGTGCACCTTTAATCACAGATCAAATGGGGGATGACTGCAGGAGAAGACTGGGCTTGGAAGCGGTGGGCCAGGGTTGCCTCTGTGGCATTTGTTTCTATTTCTGTCCTCGTCGGTGTCAACTCTGCTCTTGATTCTCTCTTTTCCCAACCTGGAAATCTCAGGTCATTCCCAGAGCTGAGCACACATGACTAAAGGCTGTGGGAGAACAGTAGTGCACAAGGGATTAACAAGGAGGACTTGTAATTAAAATCTGCATTCTTTGAATACGGACCATGTCTTGCATTCCCAGCATGCCTAAAACACAGCTTGAGCCATTCCTCTTACTGCTGTCTCTCCCCAGGTCTCATGGATCTCATCACCGGGCTTTTGCACCCTGTTCCAGAGCAGCGCACAACTCTAGCCATGTTAGCAGAGGATTGTTGGCTGAAGCAGCCTGTGAACCTGGGTGCTTATAGCTGGGAAGAGGTGTACATCTCTGCTGAGACAGGTGAGACATTGCTCTGAAGGCTTTCTCTTCCACCCACGGCCCGCCAGGCACACAGGAATGACTTAGAAGACTGAGCTATGGTTAGCAAGATGCTTCTCACCAGAAGGTCACCTGCTGATATCCAGATGTGCTCGGTTTGAAGGCATGCCCATTGTCCAGCAGGACCTATGGATCACCCCTCGCTGCTTGTCCTTCTCCCTAGAAAGCAGCAGATTCCGAAACAGTTCCAGCGAGCATGCACACAGAGACAGGCTCCCCACTCCACGCATGGAGAGTGAGGCGTGCTTGAATGGTCCCAGCTGTGAGCGTGCAGATCCTTGCTGGGAAGAAGCAGCAGCTGTGGAGTGCCAGGGCTCAGCTCTGGGCCATTGCGGCCATCCCTCTCCACAGCACCCCATGGAACAGTAACTCCCTTACTACAGGGGACAGGCTCAAGAGCCAACAGGAATTAATTGTAAGCGCTTCTCTCTTGCAGAAAGATTGCTGCTGCTTCTCTCTTGTAGAAAGATCTGGTGTTCAGCACTGAGTGGTAGGCAGGGCTGCTCTGCCTGGGCGGGATTCTTCTAGAAAAGCTTCTCACTAATAATTGTTTAGAATTATTCTTATACAGGATGTGTTTTAAAGCTGAGAGGCGAAGATTTCAATGTCTTGCTTAAATTGGTCATAAGTTAGAATGTATTTTTATTGCCTGTTTTTACTTTTTACATGTAGTTTCACTCTTTCTGAAAAGTGAACGAATAAACGTTGACTGCCCTCTGCGTGTGGATGGGAGTTTGTGTGCACAAAGGATGCCTCAAAAGCAGACACAGAACTGCATGACGTAGGGTTTCCCTCCCTCCCTCCCCCCCTTTTTTTGGGGTCAAAGAATACTGGAAAGAAAAGCAGACTTCCATAAAGAGAATTTTAACCAACTCACAATACTGAGACACGCGTTAACGTAAGGCCATTTCAGGGCCCAGCGCGGCCGCTCTCAGGCTTCCCGGCCTGCTCTCAGACGCCGCCCGCAGGGGGAGCGGGGCGGGGGGCGGGC